TGCAAGTTTCCTAAGGATTACCTCTGATTTCCTTGTTCTATTTCCCAGTGTCTGATACAGAATACGTGCTCAGTAAGTGTTTGTTAAACATTACAAACTTCTCTTTAAAATGTGATTGATACCTTAAAAAATTTTTTTTCATTGATGCCCTCGCTGGTGAGCTTAGTTGGTTGGAGCATCGTCCTATACATAAGAAGGTAGCAGGTTCAATTTCCAGTCAGAGCAAATATCCAGGTTGCAGGTTTGATCCCCGTAGGGGTGTGTACGGGAGGCAACTGATCGATATTTCTCTCTCTCTCTCTCTCTCTCTCTCACCCTCCCTCCCTCCCTCCCTTCCTCTTTCTCTAAAATAAGTTAAAAATGACTTAAAAATTGTTGTGATTGATAATCATTTCAATAAGATACAAAAAGAAATTTGTCCCATAGAATGATCTATATCCTAGGAAAGCATTTTCATGGGTCAAATTGCATTGCATTTCATGAGCAGGATCTCTAAGTCTTCTAAATAATAAGTATAACATGAAATGGAGGTTAAGCAGTTATTTAATAAAGTGTTTCAAACTAGGCATAAATGCACACTTCAAATACCCTCTTACCAGACACAATTTTTTAAAATTAAATCATCTTTTTTTTCTACATTGATTATTTCTGAAACACAAGTGATTCCTTAGGCAAAGTCAAATTTTAAAACAGATATGTGCTTGTTTTGTTTTAAAATATGTTTTTATTGATTTCAGAGAGAGAAAGGGAGAGGAAAGGAGAGGGAGGGAGAGGAAGGGAGAAGGAGAAAGAGAGAGAAACATCAATGGTGAGAGAGAATTATTAATTGGCTGCCTCCTGCATACCCCCCCACCAGAAATTGAGCCCACAACCTGGGCATGAACCCTGACCAGAAATCAAACCATGACCTCCTGGTTCATGGGCCAATGCCCAACCACTGAGCAACACCAGCTAGGCACAAATAAGATTTATAATTAAAAGATAAAAAGGAAAAAGGAAACCCAAGCCCAGAAGTTTTACAAAAACTCTCCAAAAGCATTTGTATCACTTGTATATGGACTACAGGGATTATGACTAGAAGTATAGAAATGGAGGGTGGATAAAGTGATACAATGACAGAGATAAGTGCAAAGAATTATCCTATTCTAAACTTAGACTCCAAAATCACTTCAGGAGAAACTTCACTAGCGTCAACTATAAAGTTTCTCTTTGGCTTCCTAAGTCAGATATATTAAGACTTTTAAATCCCTGAATGCATGAAGGGCACCCTTGATGTAACATGTACATCAAGCCTGGACAGACCTGAGTACAACTTCTTCTGGGCTCTGAAGTTGTTTAACTCCACTTCCAAAGTAAAAACGCATTTATTAATGCTACTACCGCTATTATGACAACAACAACGATTACAGCCACTATCACTTCTGTTTCTACCTTCTTCAGCTGAACCCTATGACAGGTGTTTTACACATATAATATCAAATCTTCATAGAGCCCCATAAGAAAATTGCAATTATTTCCATTATATAGGTGAGAAAGCTAAGCTAAAGACTTAGCTTTAACAAAAGCTAAAGACTGAGGCTTAAACAAAAGTTACCCATATGGCAGAGGCAGATTTCAATCTGAGTCTGTCCAATACCATAGTCTATCCTTGCTTTTTATTGGATTATCAAGCCCACCAACTACTTGAGTTTGGTGCTCCTGCAGAAAGCATTAATGCTTGCCTCTGGGTGTGGGGTTCAATTCAGTTCCAGGGCAATCATTTTTAATGTATCCCATTGACCTTTGGATAAGTGCTCATTTCTAATCAAAACAACACGGAGTGCCTTAATTAAGGAAAATAAAAAGGAAGTACCATTTCGGTCATATAACATAAAACACATAAAATTATTGCTCAAAAGGTGGTATAGGCAAGATACTAACAAGAAAAAAGAGAAACAACTCCCATTGATTGAGTGCTTACAATATGCCATCACTGTTTTGAGCACTTGACATGCATTAGCCTGTTTATTTTCATAACAACCTCTTGCTAAGCCCCTTTTGTGGATGAGAAAACTGAGGTACAAAAAGCTTAATAACTGGCCCAGGATGACATGGCTAAATATCACAGTAAGAAGGAGAACAGGAGCTTAAATCCAGATAGAGAACCTATGCTCTGAATAAATTGTTTACAAAACAGAGTATAATTCAAAACCCAGTAAATGACAGTGCCGCTAATGGCTGCAAAGAAAGTCTGGCCATAGCTCACCATGCCCTCTCCACACACAACATTGGGCCCTTTGATGGCAAGAGACCAATGGACTAGACAAGGGATGAGGCTGATCCAGGAAGGCAATGGCTCTATTTCTATGAAAATATTAACATGTTTACCAAAACCAAGCTGAAGAAAACCTTTTAAGGGTGAATTTTAGGAAGAGAGGCAGTCATGTTCAAATTACTTTATGTAAAGAAAGAAAACAACCATCATTGATTTTTAGAACATCCACACTAAAAGCCACAAATATTTGCAGACTACAGAAACCTAACATCAATAAACTTTGAGCCATCATTGGAGTGGTAAGCTCTTCTAGGAAGAAAAGCATTTCCCCTCATCTATTTTTTTTTTTACATTTCTTCCATTAGATCTTTGTATTTATAATAATGATGATGATGATGGTTTTACATTTACTGAGTTTCTACTTTGTGCCCAGAGTGTGATAAAAGTTTTACATTTAATAACGTAAATACTCATTTGATACTCACAAAAACCCTACAGAGTCATTATTACTATTTTCTATACTGAAGAAACTGAGACTCAGAAAAGAAACTTGCCCAAGGTCAACAGCCATTTCATTTTTGTTTGATCTAAAAGCCCATAATATTAATTGTGTGTGTTCAGAATATATGTGTGGCCACCTGACTGTCCCATCCTTATGCAGAAACAAAGGCCACAGTAAGCTCTGCACCTTCTGGCCAAGTTCCATCACCTCCAAGTCCTGGGCAGAAATGAATGGAGCCACACTGGCCAAAGACTGACCAGAAACCTCAGAGCGCTTGGACCACCTCTTTAGACTAGAAACAGGTACACTCCCTCATAATGATGATCTAACTAGAAAAATATCCCCAAGACAGACCAGTATGTTTAGTTTTCAGAACATTTGTCACTACAAAGTTCATCATCGTTCTGAAGGAAGGACTAGAGTGCTTCAAGACAGAACTAAAACACAAGAGGCTCAAGGAAAGAAGCGAATGCTCCTAATTTAAGTTTTAATCTAAAATATGTTTGCAGTTGAACCTGGAAGGTGTGGCTCAGTGGTTGAGCATTGGCCCATGAGCCAGAAAGTCATGGTTCAGTTCCCGGTCAGGTTACATGTGGGGTTGTGGGCTCAATCCCCAGTAGGGGGTGTGCAGGAGGCAGCCATTGATGTTTGTCTCTATCCCTCTCCCTTCCTCTTTCTGAATATCAATAAAAGTATTTTTTAAAATAAAATAAAATGTATTCTCTTTTGGATAAATTGTCCATAGCTGTGACTATTACATTTTGATAGCCAGAAATGATGGGACTAGGTCAGATAAGAACAGCCACTATGGACATGTTTAAAATACTTACTGAGGTAGTAGGAAAAAGACTTCAAAGTTGACTACATCATTATTAAGTAACATTTTGTTAGACATTTCAATTCATAAGCACAGTAAGTCTTTGAATAGATAAAAATATCTTCTATTACAACCAATTACTATGATGGATGATAAAATATGAGAAAAAAAATGTCTTTTAACACTCTTCTCCCTACCCCCTCACACATGCTCAGACCTCCCTGAACCACTGTGCTTCTCAGGAAGTGCCATGCTCTTCCCAGTGTTGGTGATGCTCATAGTGCAACCTCTGCCTCCAGCTCCTTGCTTCTCCCCTTTTGCCATCGGACCAAGCCACCTCAGCCACCCTCCTCCAGGAAGTCTCCATGGATTCCCTCCTCTGTGCAAGCATCAATCAAAGCACTTATCCCACGGTTTACTTTTTGGTCTCCACAAGAGACCAAGAATTCTTTGATGACAGAGACCACTCTTACTGTTTTTTATATCCCAGCACTTAGTTAAGGCTCTCAAGAAAATTTATACTAAATGAATGAAAATATATTGAAAAATTAAGAGCTTCTTAGAAATAAAAGGGAAAAATGTCTAAGATGCAAATCTTGCACAGTGTAATCTGGTCCTCATTGTTCATAAGGGTGTGTTTTAAAAACACACACACAGAAGGATGTACTAGTACTTAACTGTCCTTCACTAAATATATTTTGTAACTCCAAACCACATAGATATACTGTTACTTTAAACTGATTTATTGTTCAACAAATGTATGAATTCAGACAGTGTAACTGAGTAAGTATACATAAGGAATAATAAAGCCACCACAAAATTATGATATAAATGTAAAAAGCGCAATGACACTTTGAATAGGTGCTGCGTAGCTCTGACGCTGATTCCAATAGGAACAAGCCCTTTACCCTTTGGTCTCAGGTTCTCTACCCATAAAGTGGGGGTGACCATCCTTGCCACTTCTCCATTCATGTCTCGTAAGGACAATGGAGATACAGCGTAAGCGTGCGAGTCTTCGCCATGAAGGCACCAGAATGGAACGGGTTACATACCCTCAGGCAGAGTTCCCGCCGCCACCCCTCCCGGTAATAACGCTTCCCCACTCTGCTCCTGCCAGCAGGCTGAGAGTGTAGACCTTTGCATAAACGTGTTGACAACCAAAATAAAGTCTACGTCGGTGGGCACAAGCTTTCCTCGCTGGGGCTCGGTCTGGATTAGAAACCGCGAGGGACTTGCTCCCCCGCGGAGGCCACGCCTGCGCCCCGCTGGACCCCGTTACGCTTGCGCCAGGTGAAACGGATCCCGGGCCTTTGCGCTCCTCTATCCAAAACAGTGGGGTCCAGCGAATTCAAGGGTCAAGGTAGCGGAGTAGATGGGGAGGAGGAAGAGGGGGAGGTGAGGCTGGAGGGCTTGGGCGGAGAGCTTACCTGGCCTCGCCGAGGGGCGCCGGGGGCGGGTGCGGAACGAACACCCCACAATCAGACGGCGGGTGCGGAACGAACACCCCACAGTCCGACGGCGGAGGCTGCTGCTTCTTCTTGGAGCGCCAGAGGTGGAAAGGGGTGTGCTTCTTGGAGCTCCTGGACGGGCTGGACTCCCCGGGGTCGCCCTGAGGCGGCGACGACAGTGGCATCTTCTCGTCCGCCTCCTCCACCCGCCGCTCCGACGCTGCTCTGTCCGCCGCCCGGCCCTTGTGGAAGAACATACCTGGGCTCCGGCTCGCCTGCCTTTCGCAGGGCGCCGTCGGTCCCCGCCCCCTCGGCAGGGAGTGAGGCCAGGACAGAGCCGAGACGGCACCGCAGCGGGAGACCTCTGCGCGGAGACGACGGCCGGGCCGCAGCACAGCGCCCCCGCGTGGCGAGGGCGGCAAAGCGCGGCAGCCCAGGTGAGGCGCGCGCGTCGGGAGCCGCAGGTAAGGTCCACGCGGTCCCCGGCCTCCCGGCGCGCGGCAGCTGCGGGGCAGCGACACCTACTGGGATCCTTGGGAACTGCGTCTCCTGACACTGCCCTGCCCTTCTCTGGTTTGGGAACTAGAGGGGGGCCAATTTCCACACCTCCGGTGCATGTGCCATCTGCCGCAGGCGGAGCTGTTGGCCGCTAGCGACCTGTGCCAGGCTGTCAGGATAAGTGGCTTAGCCATGAGTCCCGCCTGAAGAAGGATGGGAGAGGCGCATCCCGTGGCCGGGCCACCCCGCAATTATGACTATTCCACTCTGGCCTTTGGGTGACTTGGGCAATATCATGCTGGGTGGCTTCCGTTTCTGTTTGTAAACATGAGTGCCAATTTCTCATCTCTCCCTTTAAGAGTCTAAATAACTAATTTGTACCTAAATCTCATAAAGCACAAAAGGATAAAAAAAACCAAAAGGTGATTAGGCATATTCCCCAGTTCCCAAAGGACTTAATAGTTCCCTCACAGTGAATTAAATGCCAGTCCCTCTAGGTTCTCATCATCTGCTTTACTGTTAATGATTTTCTTAATTAACTTCACAATTGTGGTTACATAGCAAAGGCAACTAATATTTAAGCAAAGGAAGTATATGAGCAACTATTTTGGGCATTATTAAAGTATAAAAAGCTCAAGAACTGAGCAATGCTTAAAAATTCAATGCAGCACAAAGTCCCTCCTATACTGTGATACCTTCTTTCTTTTATCTTGGAGACCCAGCTCATTCATTCATTTTTATTTAATTATTTTTATATTTACATTTTTACCAAGGTGTAACCTACCTACAGTTTAAAAATGTGCAGATCACAAGTATATAACTCAATTTTTTACAGACTTATGTGGTTGGGATATAAAATGATTTTAATGAAGAACAGTTGACATGGCCCAGAAAATCCTTTGTATGTGGCTTTTAAATATACCATTATAAAAATAAAGAGTATTTCCAAACTTTAGAAGTCTCTCTCCTGCCCTGATTCAGTTCCTTACAGCCCTTGCCCCTTCTGTAAAAGTTAACCATTATTTCAACCTCTATTACCAGTAACTAATTTTGCCTCTTCTGGAAGTTCATCACAATATGTGTAATCACAATATGTAATTTTTTTGTGTTTGGTCTCTCTTGCTCAATATTAGTCTATGAGAATCATCCATTTTGTTACATGTAGTAGTTTTTCATTTTTAAGAAAAATTATTGTGTACTATTCCATGATATAAATATACCACAATTCTTCTATCCCTTCTACTGGGGATGGACATTTAGTTGCTTCGTTTGGGCTATTATAAATAAAGTTGATATGATGAACCTTCTTAGACATAAACACTCATTTCTTTTGGGTATATATCCAGGCATTCAGTCTCAGAGTAGAATATGCATATGTTCAGCGTTAGTAAATTTTGCCAAATAATTTTCCAAAATGGTTGTATCAATTTATACTCCTCCTAACAATGTTTGAAATTTCCAGTTTTTACATCTTCATCAACCTTTGATGTTACCAATCCTTTTCATTTTGGTCTTTCTGATAGGAGTCTCAAGAAATATTTATTTAAAAAAACAAAAAAAGAAAAACACACACATAAAAACAAAAAAGAAACCCCAAAATAAAATACAAAAAAAAAATATTTTTTGAGTACTAATTATTTACCAGGCCCTGACTTGGGGGAGGAGGATGACCAACAGATGCATAGGTGATATATGAGAATTGGTAGAGGTATGTACAAGGCATTATGGGAGTTTGGAAACATCACTAACAGAGCCTGGGAGTCTGGGGAGGAGGAACAGGAGTACTCAATAAGGATTTGTCATAAAACTGGCCTTAAAGGGCAAAGGGAACAGCAAGAAAAGGGAAAGAGAGAAGGAAAAGAGAAGCAAAGGAAGAAGAGGGAAAGGGGGAAAAAAAGGAAATCTTCTTATACACAGTTGTTCAAATATTTACAAGTTCAGTAATTCAGTCATTCATTCCTGACTCCTCCAAGCAGAATTCTTCATGGTACCCCTCTTTGTGTCACCAGCAAATCTGGTATATATTTCAGCTATCACACTATTCACATTGCATGGGCCTCATTTATTTACATATATGTGTCTCCTATTAGCCTGAGAGAAACTTAAGGACATTTATCAATTATTTTTATATCTTCAGAACATGAATGTCCATTAAATGAAATAATCCAAATGAACTGGTATACTAACTTGATTGAATACCTAGACTGTCTCAGGCACAGATCTTTTGGACTGTGCACTTTGTAAGAGCAAATATCACATGCCATTTTCATGATTATATCCCCAATGACTAGCACAGTGCATAGCACAGAGTAGACACTCAATACATATTTTATATGAATTATGTACATAAATATATAAGGAATTAGAACTATGCATAAAAGAGAAGATTCAGTACTTGTGATTAATCTAGTGAGGAAAACAAACATGCAAATATAGTAGAACTTGATACAATAAAATACAGCTTGTATGATAAAAGTTGTACGTGTTCAAAACGTTTCACTTTTTTTCAGTCATTGCAAAAACAGATCCACTCAGGCTTGTTTAAGCAATAAATTAATTTATCACAGCATATTAGGTGTCTCATAATATCCCAAGAACCAGAGAGCGCAAACAAGTCCAGCTATCCCAGAGAGCTGATCTAGAAAAAACCACTGTCGCCACCTCTCAGCACTAGACACTACACACCAGCAGCTACTGCCATCCCAGGAATCAAAGGCCCGTTTCAACCACTCTTGACAAATCAGCTCCCCACCTCACCCCCTCAACATGCTTATTGCTCACTTCTGAAAGAAAAGTTCCATGCAGGTACTGATTGGGGGAGTCTGGGTCATTTAACAGCTTCCTAGCTGCAAGGGAGATTTAAATTTTCTGGGTTCTGCCTCAGAGAGATAGAATTCAGGTGGCTAAAAGTTTGCCAAACATAGCACAGGTGTAGGCAGCCAAAGGCATGAAAGATGGTCGCTGCCAAAGGAAAGGGCAAAAGGCTATGGGAACACAGATGTGATTAACTCTGCATCGCTGAGACGTCATCAGCAGGGAGGTGACAGGCTCATGAGCTGTGCAGATGAATAAGAGTTTATCAGATGGAGATGAGAGCGCTGGCAATCCAGGAAGAGTAAAAAACATGGGCCAACCTTAGTGAGGTTGGAGAAAAGGGGGGTGGGGTGGGGCGGAGTGGCAGGAGGTGAGGTTGGGAAAATCAGGTGGGGCCAGATTGCTAAGCACTTGGTAAACCATGCTTTTAAGGAACTGAGATTTAGCTTTGTAGGCAATAGGGGAGGGACTCAGCTTACATTTTTAAGTAGAGGAGTGACATAAGCAAACTTGAGTTTGATAAAGTGTGCCCTGAATGGAATGAAGTCAGGAAAAACTAGTAAGGTGAAACTATTTGAGTAAAGCCAGTAAAGAGGTTGCTACAAAAAGTTAGGTGAGCCCTGGCTGGGTAGTTCACTGAGTTAGAGCGTCATCCCCATACACCAAGGTTGTGGGTTTGATCCTGGTCCAGGGCACATACGGAAATCAACCAGTGAATGCATAAATAGGCGGAACAAGTAATCGATGTTTCACTAAAAATCAATAATTAAAAAAAAATATTTTTAAAAAAGTCAGGTGAGAGGTGATGGGAACCCACACCAAGGCAGTAGTGGGGTGGGGGGACAGTCGGGGATGGAGAGGACTGTATGCATACAAAATAGATGTAGGAGATGGGATCACCCAGAATTATAGTAAGTGAAAGAGAAGCAATCTAGGACAGCTATGAGATTAGGTGTCCAGCTTGGGTAAATGGATGGAGGTGAAACCATTAATGGAAAACAGGAGAAAGATCAGGGTCTCTGGACATGAAAATAAATATGGTTTTGAACAGATTGACTCTGAAGTGCCTGGAGGCTACAGAGGCAGAAATGTTTAATTCATTGAAAAATATGGTTCTGGAGGTCACAGGTCAGGGCTACATTATGTAGTTTCGGACATCGTTACTGGATGAGAGCTCCCAGGGAAACTGTGTGGAATAAGGATAAAAGCGGAGCAAGGACAAAACCCTGAGTAACACCAACATTTATGTATTTTGCTGGTAAGGGAGAGCCTGCATACAACTGAGTCCAGCCAGCCGCTGAAGCGAATATCTGGGGTAGAGTGTAGCCCTGGACAAGGTCATGTGATTTCTGTCTTTGAGATTGTAATAGATAGATGGAGGCTCGGCCCTCTATTGTGTCATGCCCTTTGCCTTCCTTTCCCTCTGTTCAGCAATTTGAGGTCCATTTCAAATCTTCACTCATCCTCCAAGAGGCCAATTTCCTCTGACCTATGCTGATTTTTTTCTCTCCCTAGCTTTCCGGTACACTTTCTATCCGAATTGAAGTTGACATTGTGGTAGATTGTTAAAATGCCCACAGCTCTCCACTCTTCCCATAAAGAAGCAGAGTCCATTATCTCACTGCATAGTCTGAAGCCAAATATATTGCTTTGAGCTAATTATATATTCATATTCAACACATATCTTTGTACCTAGATGTTTGCTTATAATCACAAACTTTAGTTGTTCTCCTATATATATTCAATGAAACCTCAATGGCACCTGATGATCCCATTATCCTATCTAATAAAAGAGAAACATGGTAATTGGCGTACGACTGCTACCCTTCCCATTGGCTAATCAGGGCGATATGCAAATTAACTGCCAGCCAAGATGGCGGCCGGCAGC